CAGAGAGTCACCATGGAAGTAACCCCTCTATTCCGCCATCTTGTCACTATCCTCGACATTTTCTTATTCTTAAGATGTTTTTTAAAAGTAAGATTTTTTTTTAAAGAAAAAATTCCACTTTTCATTTTTAACTTGTGTTTAAGATATTAGACATATTGCATATAAAATTAAATATTGTTTCTGAATGATATTTTAAAAATATTTTCTTCAATTTTTCTTTTTATGTGTAGGTTTTAAACTGTGTAAGACCGTGAGCTGTGTAATTTTTTGTCCTTTTTCATTAAAGTGTTATCTTACTGATTGTTTTCTTAAACTTTATGTCTTATTGCCAAATAAGCATAGTTTTAAATTGGTGCCTAATGGTTAATTGAGTAAACCAAAATTACCTCAGCAATTATAACATTAGTTCATATGCTACATCAAATATATTTGTAATTAAAAAATAAGAATAAATTTACAATGTTGAAAAGAGGACGAAGAGCATAATAGTTACTTCTGATACACTTAAAATTTGAACATTATTAATTTAAGGGAATTATTTAAAAATACAAAAAGTTTGAGGATTGAGCTACTTTTTAGCATTATAATGAAAAGTCAGTTGGAATCTTTTTTTCATGTATTTATTGTTGCCGTAAATAATGTCCTGTATTATTTTGCATGCTAGAAAAATGTCTGCTATTATTTGATAAAAATCAAAGAATTATTACAAAAATATGTTATATAACATTAAATATATATTCTACTTATGAGTAAATCATAATTTTGAAGGTTTACTTTTGAAATTTATATATTTGCACTGTTGATTACCAGAATGTAGACACCAATTACTTGTTGTTTTAAATGAATATTTTTACATTTTTTTCTGTTAATCTTTTTCAGTGTATATAATACTTGGATATTATCTATCTAATTAATGCAAAAATATTGACAGGGTACCCGCATGTCCACTGAGATTTCTAGTATATCAGTTTTGGATAAACCTTATCTCATTAAATGAAAGTGAGTTGAATTAAGTGTGAGAATTTGCAAATTGTGAAGCTTTGAGCAATAATGACATGTTCAGGTCCGACCCTTGGATTTTTCTGATTCTGGAAAAAATCAGAGACTATCAAACTGAGATACTCAACATTTAATTTGATACTTTCTATAAAATTAATATTTTCGATCTACTGAAGCTTGTGAATTTATCTGTTTTTCATTTGAGAAAATATTTATTATTTAATTATGATTTTTTAAAAAAAATTCCTACTAAGGACAAAGCACTGTTGGGCTTTTCCTTAATCTTTGAGTGTTCTTTATAGAGAAGGTTAGTTCTTGTTTTGAGTATATTGAAAAATATGCTATGATTAAAATCATAAAGCTGTACACATCACTGTATCCTTTTTTAATATTTATTTTTTAGTTGTAGTTGGACACAATACCTTTATTTATTTATTTTTATGTGGTGCTAAGGATTGAACTCAGGGCTTCACATGTACTAGGCGAACACTCTACCACTGAGCCACAAACTCAGCCCATACATCACTATATCTTTTGAAGTAAACAAGAAGCATCTACTTATTTTATAAAATAAATCGTAATTATGATAGCATTATGAAGTAGGTGGACTACATTTTGAGTCCTGTTATACGTATATGTGTATGGTTTGCATATGTGTATGTGTGTAACTATGTATATATAGATATTTAAATTTTCATATAATTTTAAAAATTGACATAGTAAAAGTCAGCATGTATACTTTAAAAATTTAAAATTGTAATATGAAAGAGGATATTCTTTCAAAATATTGTAAATGCAGCATTTATCCTGTAATTTGAGACAAATTTGGCTGTCAACTAATTTACCTGGCTTTTTCTGTCTATTGGAACAGTAGCTGCATGCAGTCAGTCTCTTGCCTGCTTGTCTGGTCCTGAGTTCAGCTGTATGATTTCCAAGAAAGTTTGATTGCACAGGCTTGAATAGTCAGGTTCTCTTCATGGAAGAGTTGGGTGCACACATTAAAAGAAGAAAGAATCTGTGCAACAGAGGAGAGTGGGGTGGCTTGATGAGAACCCCATCCTAGAGAAAGCATCTGTAGTCACAGGACAAGCAGGAAGCAGTAGATAAGACTAGAGTGGCGGGAACATATTACAACATTGTGGAAAACTTCCTCAGCTAAGTGAGCAGGGATATTGCAGGATCCATCTTGCTGCTCATGGCCCAGATGGGAGATAAGATATATAGTCAAGGAAGGAGACTTTATCTGAAAAGCTAGTTGGTTAAGAAGATAGAAGTTTCTTACCCAAAGTCCATCTTTCTGGGAAACTAATTCAGGAGTGGTTTATTTCAACAATTCGTGGGTATTGCCAGAATGGTAGGCACCTTTTCACAGCTGGTGTGCCATATGATGCATACCTACCTGATCCTAGTAGTTCCCAGTTGGTTTCCAGTTCTGCAAATTTCAAGAACAATGATTAATATTTCCATCAATGCTGAGCTTCAGGCATAGAAGAAATCTACATATTTTGACTTGATTCAGTGGCAAGACACCAAAGCCTTTTGAGCTAAATGTGGCATGATGAAAAAAATAGTAAAGTAAGAGCCAGCAGGGTGAGAAGAGGGCAGTGATGTGACTTGAGTAACCCAGGAGGGGAAGGAAGGAAGAGGTGGTAGGCCCAGGGCATACACCTGTGCATGTCAGGAGCATTACCTGGATGACTTTGGTGTGTGAACTAGTTGTCTCTTGTGCTCTGTGGGAGGAATTTGTTGTGCTGATTTTAAAGTAAGTCCAGGCAGGTGCAGTGTAATTCCAGTAATTCCAGTGTAATGCCTATAATTCCAGCTTCTGAGGAGGCTGGGGCTGGAGGATTGTGAGTTCAAAGCCAGCCTCGGCAACTTAGTGAGACCTTGTCTCAAAATAAAAAAAAAGACTTTGGATGTTTAAACTGTTTAAACACCACTGGATTGAATTCCCAATAATACACACACACACATACACACACACACACCAAAAAAAAAAACACAATAAAGTGTAATGTTTAGTACATAGGCTACATGTGGCTACTTTGGTTTTCTTCATCTAGAGTTATTGCTTAAATGGTAATAAATGTGGGATCTTTTAAAGTGCAGTGCAAGGTTCACTTAGCTAATCACGGATACTGGTCTTACAGGGAAACAAATTGTGGTTGGGCGGAGGGGTTGTTAACATGTATAATCTGATTATCTGATTTTTTTTAACTATTTTTTTTCTACCAGTTTATTATAATTTCTTACTTGTTTATTTTTGTAGCTATTAAGGAGGGTTCAGAGTATAATTATGAAATAAATAACTTTTATTTTCCCTCTGCCCATTAGTACTTAAACTGACATGCATTATGAGGTTGTGCTGCTTTGCACAGAATGTGAACGTGAATCAAATATGTAAAAGGAAGAAGAAAAGTACAAAAATTATAATGTCTGATATAATTCTATTCTAAACCAAATGTAACCTGGGAGTTTGAAAGACCCACAACTCTACAACATCATTTGATAGTGAATTTGGGGAATTAATAGTCTAAGAGCAGGTAATGTGTGGTGACATTTGGGTACGAATGAAAGACTGTGGGAAGCATATTATCAGAAACTGAGTGCCAAGAACCTCTGCTTCTGTTCAAAACTTACTTAGCAAAATCAATCATTTGAGAGAGGACTCACCAAGCCAGCGTAAGTGCTATATAGAGTCATTCTCTAAGCCACCTTTAACCTTTTTCTGGCTTCCTTCTTGTCTATGGCCATGGCTACTCAATAAATTTTAGCGGAGACAAATGAAAAAGGTCATTGTTTGAGTCAGATTTTTCACTGCTGTGATTAAAGGATCTGACTAGAACAGCTGTAAGGAGGAAAAGTTTATTTGAGGGCTTACGGATTCAGAGGTCTCAGTCCATAGAAGGCTGGCTCTGTTTCTCTGAGCTTGAAATGAGGTTAACATCATGGAGGAGTGTGTGGCAGAAAGAAGCAGCTCACATCATGATGATCAAGAAGCAGGGAGAGACTCCACCCTCTAGATACAAATATATGCACCAAAGCCTCACTCCAATTCCCACTTCCTCTAGCCACACCTTACCACTTTAGTTAATCCCATCATTAACTCACTGATTAGGCTGAGGCTATAATCCAGTCATTTCTCCTCCAAAGCTTCTTGCATTGTCTCACATGTGAGCTTTTGGAGGACACTACATCTAAAACCTAACAGTCACTTCAGTTGCTACAGATGCTGACACAGCCCTCTGAACTCCATTATTCTGTCTTGGAACCTTTGTTTCAGAGTGGTCTGCACTGTCTTGGCCAGTAAAATTTTCTTACAAGTGTTGTCACTGTAATCTACCTGTTGGTCAGAGAGCGGCCATAGAGGGCTTCCTGGGGACATTCACAAATCCATCTTCATAGTTTAGACAAAATTGTGATAACATAACAAATAAAAACAATTTGATGTGCACTCATCTTCAAGGAAATTATTTTGTGAGTCTTTATTCATGAGAATTATATGAGATAATGTGGTTTTCAAAGAATATGTTTCAACTACGTGTCATGATAATGGTTTGGTATTTGTGTTTCCCCATTTTATGGCAGCTTTGGTATATCCACTTGTTGTGTATTTTATTGATTTATTCTCATTCTTACCCGTGCTGTTTATTAAATAATAGAGTATTTTTCTGTGGGTATAAATTGTTCCTGAAATCTTTTATTGCTTTAGAAACTTTAACAATCAAAGCAAATCAAATTTTTGGACATAGAGCAAATGAATGTTAATAAGTTTGTAGTGCTTAATTTCATGTAATATGTTATGAGTTAGGAAAGTTGCATAATTGAGCACTGACTACATCCAACATATAGCTGTTTCTTTAGTTTTTTAAGTCTTCATACAAAAGCAAAAATATCTTGAAGAATTTTGTGGTCTTGAAACTTTCATGAATTGAATGATCATGTTGATATGATATTATACTTTATATTTTGCTTATTGGCCTTTGCCCATTAATTTCCAGCTGACTTCCATAGCAGCGGACACATTGTTGTTAACGGTTGGAAGATACATAATACAGCAAAAAATAAGTGGTTTGTGTGCATGGCAAAAACACCTGAAGAAAAGCACGAGTGGTTTGAAGCTATTTTGAAAGAAAGAGAACGACGAAAAGGTGAGTATATGAATTAGTCCCTGTGATTTTTTTTTTTTTTTTTGTGTGTGTGTGTGTGTGAAGATTGTAACTTGGCACTAGAGCAGGTAATTGGAAAAAGTTACGAGAATGTGGACTGACAAATAATATTCACTTTGATTTGCTGTGTGATATAAGGTCTACCGTGAAATATTTTTGAATAATTAACAATATTGTTAAATACTTAAAAGGAAAAGTTTTTATAAAGTTAGCAATATAATTATAGTATAGATGATAATGTTTCACATGAGTGACAATGTTTTAGTTTCACTTATTTTAACAGTTGTTCTGTTACTGGGCACATTATTCTTGCTGCCTCCAATGCAGAACACAAAGTCTTCCTTTAACCAGACTTCATTAATGTATCATAGTAAGGGCTGGGGATGTAGCTGAGTGTTAGAGCACTTGCCTAACATGTGTGAGATCATGGGTTTGATCGCCAGCATCTAAAAAAAAATGCACATAGATATAAATACTTTATCTGTATAGAAAGAGATATGTAGTAGTGTCATAGTATTTTTCTGTATATTTAGGACCTCTCTGTATGTTTAATAATGTAATGAAAATCCTTTGATCAAATATGTTAGCTTTCTAGTTGTAAATTAAATCCCTTGGAGGGTGTGTGCGTGCGTGCATGCGTGCGTGTGTGTGTGTGTGTATGCTTTAAATATTCTCAGCATGTCATTGAATATTAGGGAATGTAACCAGTAAAAAATTTGTTCAATTAGGAGTCCTAGGTAAAATTTGTTTCATGCTTTTAGAAAGATTTTTAAAAGATATTTGACCTGGCAAATATTCACTTGTGTGAAGCTTATTGACAAGCAAACATGTGCAATTCAGCTCAGAAATATTAATACTTGTATTTCTTTACCAATTGATTTCTTAATTGTTAGCAATCATGGCACTGCTGATTACCCTTTCTAAGATTTGGGAACAAAACTGCTCTTGGTAATGAAATTTTAAGACAAAAGAGCTTTCTTCTATCTTCAGGTGTTTCCCCTTGAATATACAAAGTTTCAACTTTAAATATTTGTAGTATAAGAATTTGCAAAGCATTTTGAAATCCTTATTCCTTTGATTGATCATGGATGAAGAATCTGACAGAAAAATTTAAAAGTTATAGATGCATAACTGACTCCTAAGATTTGTTGAATCTAGCATTTTGTTCAGTATAGCAATTTTTCAAGTAGAAAAGCAAATAAATTCAAAGGAGAACTGAATTTCTCATCAAGTTGAAACTTAAATTTTTTTTTTCTAGAAAAACTTTGTCTTAAGATACCCAAGATAAAATATTGAAAACAAAAGAGTGAAAAAAAATTAAAAAGCACATTTTATAAAATAGGGAAATTGTACAAAGTTAGGCTCTGATCCTGTGGTATTATTCATTATTTTTGGTAATTGTTAAAGGCTCCTGTATTGGAAAAAATTAAATTTTAGTAGAAATTTTTGTAGCTTAGAAGACTAAAAATAATTGAAATATTTCTTGAAACAGTCCTTCCTCTGGCCTATGTGCTGACTAAGTGTTGCTGGTTCCAACATTTTATCTTTGGCACTAGCTTCTAAATAGATTCCTTTCTTGGGTTATCTATTCCTAGTAGATTAACTTTCACATTATACTGCCAGTTTCCCAGTCTTCATGTCCAGCCTTCGTCCTCTGTCCCAGGCTCTATACTTGTGCATTCTGTTGACCCCAGATTCCACTCAACACTTTGAGCACTGATGGACTCCTTATTGCTTGGATGTCTCTGGCCAGAAGCATCCCCATTTACTTCCTCTCATCAAACCCTGGAACATCCTGATTTCTTTTCTCTCCTTTACACCTACATTTGATCAGTTGCTGTGACCTATCATGACTACCCCCCATCTGTTTCTCGATTTCATCTTTCTTGCCCTAGAACCCTTATTGTTTGCAGGGTCTTGGACTTTAAGTAACTTTCACAGTTTCCTCCAAATGGTCTCTGTATTAGTCAGCTTTTTGTTGCCATGACCAAAATACCCTACAAGAACAACTTGAAGAAGAGAAAAAGTTTATTTTGTAGCCTTTGAGGGCAACAACCCCAATGACCTACTTCCTCCAGCCATGGCCCCTGCCTATAGTTATAGCCCCACCCAGTAGTTCATTCATATTATGAACCCATCAAGTGAGTTAATCCACTGATGAGGTTACAGCTGTCATAATCCAGCCTTTTCCTAAAATTCCCATCCCTGCACCTTGCTGCATTGGGGAACATGCTTTGAACACATGGTGCTTTGGGGGGGACATTCCAGATTTAAGTCATATAACATTCTTCCACTTTGTAAATCCTAACCCCCTTCAGTTTGTTCTCCACGTTGTCCTCTGAGCTTTGTTTCCAAAACAACAGAACTTTCTTTCCTACACTACACACAGCCTTTTCTTTTCTGCTAGCTAAAACACAGATGTTTCCCCCTCTTCTAGGTTGAAACTATAAGCACCCTCCCTAACCCACCAGCACATCTCCTGCCTTCTTGCCTAAAACCCAGGACTCGAGGGCCTCTGTGTTGCTTGACATTAGTTAGCTCTTGCAAATACTTTGTGTAGAAATACCTATTTGTAGTGGTGCGCTTAAATATGGCCCTCCTGTGAAAGATTTCTTAACATTTTCCAGGTAGAGATGTGGTACCCTGAATATTTCTTTATTTTATCACACTTTACCCTTCACAGGGACGCCTAGGACCACCATGCCTGGTAATGCTCCTCTTATCTGTTGCTCTCACTCCACTGGCTAAACTGTGTTCCTTTGGGGTATGATTGTAACAAAGGTGCTCTGTGCTCTGGGAATCTTGTCCTGACTATCTACCTAGCATATCATGAACTTCTTGAAAACTATGCCCAATCTAAAGAGCTCTGTATCCATACTCTTCAGCCCATGGTAGACACATAATAAATGCTTCTTTAATGAAGGCATAAGCTAATGAATGAAGAGATTTTTTTCAATTACATGTCCTTTGTCTCATTTTTGATAGGTTTAAAACTAGGAATGGAGCAAGACACCTGGGTAATGATCTCTGAACAGGGTGAGAAACTTTATAAAATGATGTGCAAACAAGGAAATCTGATCAAAGACAGAAAAAGGAAATTGACTACGTTCCCTAAATGCTTCCTTGGAAGGTAGGATTGGTAACCTGGGTACATATACTTCTTTATGTTTACCCTCTCACATGTTAACTTTACTTATTTTTCCCTTTTTTGAAAAATATTACTTAAGCATTTTTGAATACTTCTTTATGATCTACATTTTCTGGGCCATGGCCAGACGAGGGAATGGAAAAGAGAACCAGGATCCTGTAGATAACTTAAAGCATCCATCCCTTCATCTATAACTTCAACAGTATCTGATCTACCAAGTTCTGAGTGTGAAGTGGAGGTTGGGGGGGGGAGGCAGGGAGTGGTCTGAAAGCTGATATGTTTATAGGGGACAGAATGATGGGTCTGACATGGAAATGCACATAGGGCTTGAAAGTCAGAGTTGATGGTGGATTCAGATGAGGGAATACTGGAGAGCTAAAGGCAAACAGTTCAAACTCACAATCAATCTGGAATTTAGACAGCTGGGTTCAGGGGGAAGGGGAATAGACAAAGAGTCAAAACTAGTCAGTCGTGTGAGGGGCCAGACACCATGGATGATGTCTCATTTGTTTTCTGCAGACAGTGCTAAGTGAATTCTCTGGTTTAATCAGTGCAAAAGCAGTGAGAAGGGTATCTGCTTCAGTAGCTCTCCTTAGGCTAGACTCTGTGCTTGCCTCTTTCTCTAATTTCCAATAGACTAATACATACCTGGGAGTTAAATGCCTTTATTCTTTTTTAAAGATGCAGAAACTATGGATCAGGGATCTTAACAAGTTCATATAGTTTCTCAATGTTGAGTCCATTAAAGTACACCGAGACAGTAATTCAAAGCACAGACTGCTATCTTGCTTTTTCAGTTCAAATCTTTGTGCTGTCATTAGCTAGTAATGGGATTTGGGAAAGTTAAGTTTCTGTTTCTTCTGGAAACACGGAGATGATTATAGAGCTTACCTGCAGTGCCCAACAGCATGCCTTTTAAACTAGCTTTGGGGACATATAGAACAACCATAGGCCATATCTGTCCCCAACCCCCAACTCAGGAGTATGTAGGCCAGGAAACTCCCTTGCTACAGAGCATCCTGGACTTTCTTCTTCAGGGAGAATGGCCCTCAGAGCTGCCATACAGCTGCCCCCTGTGGCATAGCTCCTGACTCCCATGCTCTGTTGTCATCCCTCCAGGTGATAACTCTAGTGCAAAGAGCAGAACAGATGTGGATCAGCTTGACATAGAAGCTCAGTACAGCAAAAGGACAGTGTCTCTTGTAACAACTCCAAGGGTGATGACTTCCAGTGTCCCCAAATGGATATGCCCTCTTGCAAGACAGTCACTTCATATTATGACTTTCCTTTAGAGGCATGAGATTGAACCATTAGGAGTCATTTTTACCATAGCAGTGCTGACATTATAACTTCACCAGTTGAGCAGGTGTCTAGGGGGACAAAGCTAGAAAGTTAGCCCAGATCAAATTTGGTTTTATTGCAGGAGAAAGCATTTTGCTGACCCTTAACCCATACGATCTCATATAGATGTATTGCTGGTAATAGTTGTGATGATACGTGAAGCATTTCTCAGCACCTGATGCCCAGGACAGGCTTAGGAAATGTTAACTATGGCTTTTCTCTGACAGCAATCCAATGCAGCCAAGTTACAGATCTCTCCTGAGTGGACCATGATCCTTTAGCAGAGTGTTGTTGGAATCTTCTTTGTTCTGAGGAGGTCCCATGATAAAGCCACTCCTTAACTTTCTTTCTGACCTCCTCTCCCATTTATAAAAACAATATTCCCAATTTATATTTAAAGGGGCTCTTTCTTACCTTTGAATTTGACATTTTCAGGATCTGGTGACACTTGGATAGAGAATTACAGGTTAGCTGCATATCAACCGTTCAGCTTACTTGTCAGTCACTGAGAAGCACTATCTTATCAGTGTGCCAGGAACTGTGCTGACATGCACCATCTCATTTAATAATTTGACAGCACCATCACATTGATATTCTTGAGGCTGAGAGCTAATTGACTAACCCAAGATCATTGCTGGTAGAAGAAACAGGATTTAAATTCAACTTGTCCTATTGCAAAGTACATGATCTCAACCATTGTAGTTTATTTTACCCTCTCATATCTTTATTTTTTTCTTTTATTTCTTCTATTCCTTCCTTTTTAAAAAAATGTGTGGTCTTTCTTTTGGATGGTTCTTATTTAATAAGTGAATTGGAACACTTTAACAACTTTTTCTGCCTTAAAGTATATTTCTTAGACTAGACCATTCATTTTTAGAATTTCATGTCTAGATTATTTGAAGTGTTTTATGTTGCCTTTGGTTTAGTAATAAATGGAAAATAGTTTCCTGATGCTGTCTGTAGGTTTGATTTTCTGGCCTCTGTGTAACAACAACAACAAAAAATTAAAAAGTCTAAAACAAATTCATTAGTATGTCAAAGTTTAAATGTTAGTTTTTTTTTTTTAAAAAAATGCCTATGAGAATATTTTTATTTATAAAATGTCTGTGTAATTAATGTTCTTTTAAGGATAGCACATGACCATTTGCCTTTTTGTGGACAGTAGTCTTGTAATTACGGCTACGCTAAGATTTTCACTTTGGGTTTATGAGAGACCTCAAGAATTTGAATAGTTTATTAAATATAGTTTAGGAGAGTCACAATGTGTGGACATAGGTTTTCTAGAATAAAGTCCACCTTCTATGACTTGCAGGTCTTACATGTGAAAAAATATCTGCTAAATGGCATTGCCAGTATCCCTTTATACTTTGAGACTCCTTTCTTAGTTGTTTCATGACTGCATGGTACAGATAGATTTCCGGGATGGGTATGGGGGAGGAAATGAACTGTTCTACTTTTATTATTGGCTTTCTGTTGCAGTGAATTTGTGTCGTGGTTGTTGGAAATTGGAGAGATTCATAGACCGGAAGAAGGTGTTCACTTGGGACAAGCATTATTAGAAAATGGAATCATCCACCATGGTGATTATTTTATTAAAATTTAATTACTTATTTAACTTATATATTTACAAATTGCCTGTCTCTTAATCCCACCGATGAGTTTAGTTTATAATTTTCTACATTATAGGAAACTAATCATTTTCCTCAGCATTTTCAATACCTAATGTGTGTAGAATAGTGAGTGTGGGTTGATGGTGATGTGGGTTTATGAAGTGTGGGTTTATGGTGAAACCATTGTTAACCATAAAATGAACAGCCACCACGTATCCAGGAGTTATGATATGGGTAGGTGCTGTGGGATTATGGAGTAAGAGACGGCAAGTTCTAACTGGAGTATGTTCCATTTGTTACAGTTTATTTAGGTTGTAAATTAATTACAAGTTAATACAAAATACAGTTAGAACAAATTTTAGTCTTGATCAAATTATCCCTCCAACCCCAGGCACCACTTTCTTAAATAATACATTTTGAAATCAAATCATTTTGAATAAAAATTAATTTTGAAATTTCATATGCAAGAACCCTTCAAGTATCTAAACTATGAGAACTGCAATGGTATCTATAATATGATTAATTCTTGAAGAGAGATAGTACTGTTTTTTTGTGTGTGTTGTTTGTTTGTTTTTATTTTTTAGTTGTAGTTGGACAAAATGCCTTTATTTTATTTAGTTTTTATGTGGTAGTGAGGATTGAACCCAGGGTTTTGGATGTGCTAGGAGAGTGCTCTACCGCTGAGCCACATCCCCAGTCCAGTACTATGTTTTAAAAATAAATAAATAAACAGATAATTTATCTATCTATCTATCTATCTATCTAATATCTATCTATCTATCTATGCATGCTAGAGATTGAACCCAGGGCCTCATACATGACAGGCAACATTGGTTAAAATTCGATTTTAGTGGCCAGGGCTTTTACTATTATCAGGATTTGACCAGTTGTAATGTCGCATTTGGTATTCTGAATTTTTGTCATGAGAAAATTTTTTTAAAGCCTCTGATTACCGCAAACTGGGGGTAAAAGAACATATGAAGCAATTTTACATTAATAGAGAACTTCTATTAGATGGAAGTTATGAGGCAAATGTGGTAGATTCATTTGTATGTAGTTCCAGCTGCATTTTAGTGAAAATAGAATCCCTAAAATAAAGTTGAATGAACCATCTGTTATAAGAGAGCAAGTTAAAAAAAAAATTGACTGTTATTGCTATTATTCCCTTTGCAAATATTGTTGAGAATATCATCAGCAGCAATACCTTGCTAGAATGGGAGTTCTTGTTTTCAGGTAGCATATGCTTTTTTCATGGTATGCTGTTAATATTCATCTTATTTGACTCTAGAATTTATAGTAAAATTCTTATGTGAGAATTCAGAGATCCATTTGTTAAATCCTCTAGTGTGCTAAAGTTGGCTTATACAAACTCCTGAGAGCTGATAATTAAATTAAAAATATTTTGCAAGCTGGTTGGTTGTTAAGAACAATTATTATTAATGTTAAAACTAAATAAACATTTACACAAGTTATATTATAAATAAAGGTGATGCATTCTTGAAAGTTAAACACTTCCTAATTATTTCACTTCATTTTATTGTTACCTATATTCTTGAGGGTATTTATTTTTGAAGTTATTATTTTTGTGTGGTGGAAATGTGCTGTAACAGTGGGACACTCATAATTAACTATGTGTTAGTAACTGTAAGTTGGTAGCTTGAAATTGCCCAGAATGGGACTGTTTATATCCCAGAAATTAGCATATGCTACAAATCAGAGGTCCTCCTCCCCCACTTTCCTCTACCTCCTTGTATCTCTCTAGTTCTCTCAGAAAATTGTTGTAAAGATTGCATTAAACAAGATGGCCTAAACTCTTTTTTAGTTAATAAATTTTTCCTGCTAGATAATTTGGGGCAGTGGATTTGAATGTGTTTTTCCAAGGCAGTGGCTAAGATTGGCAGAGTGGTCCAGGGCTGGAACTATCGGGGTCACAAGCATTTGCATTACAGATGAACCCCCCTTTAACAATGAGTTCAGCTACCACTTGTTTTATTGTGGCAAGAGACATTTGGGCCCAATGTTTCCTTGAGGTTTGGAATATCTAGAGAATAATTGATTTCAATGAATATTAAGGGGCAAAAATGAGATTAGATGACATAGGAGAAATAAATGACCCATCTTGAAATAGAGTATAAAATTTCAAAATATTTCTCTTAATTTTTAATTTTTCCATATGTGTCTTTTTCTTTATAGCTTATCCTAGGAAAAAAGATTCCAAAGGCTGTATTGTTGTTTGGAGGGTGGCAACAATCTTGGTTCAGTTTTATTGCTGCATGCCACAAACTTTGGTGGGCTGGATAAAAGTGTGTATGTGTGCCCATATGCATGTGCACTGCGTGTGTTTACTAACTTATGTTTTAATATTCTACTGGTTTCACCAAATGTAGTTAATGAGAATTAATTCTGACAGTTTTTTGTCCTCTTTCAGTGTTTCTAGCAGAAAGCCAAAGTCTTCTATCTCATCCTGAAAGTATAGCTTATTGTAGCACATTATTTCTTTTGCAAATGTTGTATTCCTCATAATGAAAATATTTAAATATAAACCTTTGAACTTTTAAAATATAAACCTTTGAACTTATTTTAAGGTTTTACTTTCTAAAACAGTGATTTTTAAAATTTTGGTGTCTATAAAATAGCAGCCTGGAAAAGAGAAAACTTAATGGGAATATTTAATGGGATTCTTTACTGAGGTGTAATTGGCAAATAAAAGTTATATGTAATTATGGTGTACAACATGATATTTTTATATATATACACACACAGTATGAAATGATCACCAATCTAGTTAATGAACATATCCATTCCCTCACATAGTTATTATTATTTTTTTTTGTGATGGTAGCATTTAACATCTATTCCCTAAGCAATTTTCAAGTGTATAATACATTATGTCACATTTTCTCTGTTTATCCATTGATGGACACTTAGGTTGATTACATATCTTGACTGTTCTGAGTAATGCTTCAATGAACATGGGTATGCAGATATCTGTTTGCATACTGATTTCAGTTCTTTTGGATATATTTCCAGAAGTAAGATTGCAGGATCATCATGATTCTATTTTTAATTTCTGAAGGATCCTCCCTACTGTTTTCCATAATGGCTATACTAACTTACACTCTTACTAACAATGTACTATAGTTCCCTTTTCTGCAAGTCCTCCTCTACACTTTTATTTTGTCTTTTTGATATTTGCCATCCTAAGAGATGTGAGGTGATATCATTGTGGCTTCGATTTACATCTCCCTGATGACTGGAGATGTTGAGCACCTTTTCATGCATCTGTTAGCTATCTGAATTTCTTCTTTTGAGAATTACCTATTTAGATCCTTTTCCTATATTTCAATGGGGTATTTGTAGTGTGGTGTTGAGTTCCTTAATATATCTTGGAATTTAGCCTACTAATCGAATATGCAGTTTGCAAATATTTTTTTCCCATTCCGTATATTGCCTTTGCATTTTGTTAATTATTTTACTTGCTATGCAGAAGCTTTTTAGTTTAATGTAATCCCATTAATTGATTTTTGCTTTTATTGCATGCACTTTTGGTATTACATTCATTACTTATCTTTTTACTGGTAGTTTTACAGCTTCAGGTCTTTAAATCTTTAATCCATTTTCAGTTGGTTTTGTGTATAGTGTGAAATAAGGGTCCATTTTCACTCTTCTGCTTGCAGATATACAATTTTTCTAGTACAACTTTTTAAAGAGAATTTGTTTCAGTCAGTTTTTCACTACTGTGACCAAAATTGCCTGACCAGAACAACTTAGAGAGGAATAGTTTTGGGGGGTTCATGGTTCAGCGTTCTTAGTCCACTGTTGGCCAGCTCTGTTGCTCTGGGCCCAAGGTGAGACAGCCCATCATGGCAGAAGGGTGTGATGGAGGGAAACTACTTCTCTCCTGACCAGGTCAGAAAGCAGAGAAAGAGGGAAGGGGCCGAGGAGAAGAACTCCTCCAGGGCATGGCCCCAGTGACCCACCTCCTTCAGCCATGCCCTACCTGCCTATAGTTAACTCCCAGTCAGCCCATTCAAACTGATCAGATTACAGTTCTCATAGTCAGGTCATTTTACCCCCAGACATTTTCTCAAAATTCAAGGCATTACTCTGTCTTTTCCTATTGTGCGTTCCTGGTAACTTTTTTGAAGATAAATTGACTATAGATATTTAGGATTCTTTCTGAGATCTTATTTCATTCCATTGATTTTTTTTTTTTGTCTCTTTTTATGTCAGTGCTTTGATATTTTTTGATTACTGTAGCTTTGTAGTTTGTTTTGAGGTCAGGTAATGCGATACATCCAGCTTTGTTCTTTTTTGCTGCTCAGGGTCTTTTGTGATTCTGTAGATTTTTTTTTTTTTTTAATGTCCATGAAATATACCCTTGGAGTTTTAAATAGGGGTTATAGTTAAACCATAGGTTTCTTTGGGTAATGTGGAATTTAAAATAATTTTTTCTATTTATGAATACAGTGTCTTTGCACTTATTGGTGTCTTCAATTTCTTTCATCCATGTTTTCTAGTTTTTAGTATACAGATCTTTTCATCTCCTTCATCTTCCCAAGTATTGTGCTTGATTTTTTGGATACTGTTATAAATATAATTGTTTTCTTAAGTTCTCTTTGGATGGTTCATTGGTAGCATATGATTCTTGATGTCCTGTTGAATTTGATTTGATAGAGTTTGAGGAATTTTGTGTTTATGTTCATTGAGAATGTGGCTTATAATTTTATTTGCTTACAATGTCCTTGTCTGTTCTTGTAAAATGAGTTTGGAAATATTCTCTTCTATTCAATGTTTTGGAAGAGTTTGAGAATAATTTGCATTAATTCTTTAGATATTTGTTAGAATTTGCCAGTGAAACCATCAGGTCTTGGGAACAGGAGATTTTAGGAATACGACAATCTTATCCTGAGGATGGTAATGAAGGAAGACCACATTCATTTTCTACTGAGACAGAATATTTTAAGTGACTGGTGAGAAAAGCATTTCTCAGTGTAAAAACTTAAATTTTTTGAATCAGCAACATATTGAAATTATTTAATCTACTCTGGAGGTCTGAATACAAGATAAATGATCAAGATTGGTGTATGTGTGGTCTTGGCCTTATCAGAGTGTGATAAGACAGATAAATGCTAACATTCATGTCCAAGACTGAGAATCGAGTCATAATTCTGAATATGAGTATCTGCTCTTTGAAAGTCACTCTGTGTTCAGTTTTGTATTATTGTGAAGAAATGTAAAACATAGGCTTGTTTATCTATATTCACATAAATATACTCTATATATTTATACATACATGTGTATTAGTTTTTATCAAAGTTTCTCTATTTGGGAATATGTGTTTTGAGAATATATATTTTTTTCTGCCACCTTTTAGATTGTCACCATTTTAATATATTGTTCCTATATGTTCTTAGTTACTGATAAACATCAATTCAAGCCAGAGCAGATGTTATATAGATTTCGGTATGACGATGGTACGTTTTATCCAAGAAATGAGATGCAGGATGTGATTTCAAAGGTAATGCTCTTTGCCACAACCCCTTCAGTAGCACAATTCATGTTATCATGCTTGAGAAAGACAAAAATCTATTGAGAGACTTAAAAATTTCTACTATCATAGAAAATTTAAAATTACATACACAAACAAGCCTCTTTATTTCTTTTTATAATTTAAAAATTCTGTTGTTAGATCATATCTTTGTTCTCTTACCTCGTTAAAAAAAAAGTGCTATTGCCTCATTCAGAAGCATGAATAGTTTTCATACTATTGAAAATTGTTTTTACATGTAGCAACATAGTAATTATACTTGAATAAATTCAGGAAATATAGGTATAAAAATAAATATAATGCCAGTTTTAATTTTATACTTGACACAATGTTTATTGACATATAGTAAATACATCTTCCAGATTTATTTACTATATAGATTTACTTTCAATCGAAATTATGTCTTAAAAATTTTATACTTTAAGGAAAATAATTTCAAAAAGTATTTGTAGAGCATATCATGTATATGATAAACTCATAGCACAATTGAATTCCTATTATTAATGATTTAAAATATTATGTTTGGATTTATCATAACATTGGGATGATTTTTACACTGGTTGAAATTGGTGTAATGATTGCAGGATATTGACAGTGAATTTGCTTGTTCTTTCAATGTGGCATTCACATGTCTCTTGAGGCATCTCCCTTGCTTTTAACATTTCTTTATTTTGCACAGGGCGTAAGATTGTATTGTCGTCTTCATAGTCTGTTTACCCCAGTGATAAGGTGAGTCTGGTTTCTATGTTCCAGGAATCTTAAATAGAAATATTTATATTGCATGTTAGAACTTGGGTTATTTTGTCTTCTTCTGAAAGTGGAAATTTTACTTTATTTAGTATTTTAAGTAATTATTTATCTTAAAGTATCCCTCAATTTTCTGGGACTCTATACCGTGTCTTTCACTTTTTTTATTGTGACTTCCAAAGTTATTTTGCTTTTATTACATGGTAAATTATAGACTTGAAAATGGAATAATCCACACCCAGTTAATATTAATAAATAATAGTTAACTGGGGAGAATTTGGAAATACCATAAACTCTGAATATTTAACATTATGATTACTTGTATTTTAACCCTTTTAATTACATTGTATAATTTATCATTATGATATATTATATATAAATAATGATATATATAAATAATTATATACATATATATATATAAACTATAGATATATAGTTTATTTTATGGTAGTTCCTTCTAATAGTCTTAATAATAAGTTTTATATTTGAAAATTTAAAATTTCTTTGAAGTTACCAAATATGACTTTTCAATTTTATTCTCATATGTTTTTGTTACTGAAGAGATATGACTTCTTTTTTAGGAGGAATTAGGATTAGTTTTGTTTTTGCCTTCGCCAAAGATCTAGAGTTTTATATTAAGATTACTAATAGATTAGATAGTGAGGAATATTGTTGAAGCTTGGTAATATACATTAACTGATAGAACGTTAAATTTATTTTAGATGGCTAGATGTTATTTGGAGTTTAATAGCTAAATCATATTTTCAGAACAGAAATGCGTGCTCCATTTCTGAAATGAATAAAGATGCTTTTCATTCTTGGCTGCAGGATCCAAATGTTTTATGTGTGCAGTGTTTCTATTTTTTCATTCTGATTTTCAATTCCAAGAAATGCAAAACTAAAAGAGAGAGAAGGAAAGAGAGATTGCAGAAGGCTGTGTCTTAAGTGTGTGGAGTGTCCTTTCACACTGCATAATCACACTGCATGCAGGTCCTACAGGAGAACTCAGGATCTTATCCTTTATTCCGGAAATGTTATGTGCACTTTTACAAACAGGCTTCACAAAGTAGAAAGAAATGAAAAGAATGAATATTTATTGACTTTATTCCATGATCCTGTTATGGATACCCTTCAAATATTTTGAATAACTTAATACTTAGTACTTAATAGCAATTGGGTAATTAATTTTTTTTTTCTGCTCAGTAAGTAGAAAATAGGAATGGTTTAATTTGGCATGTCACCTGTGTGCATGTTGATCTTATATGTGTGAAATACGTTCTGAAAATATATTTTAACCATATGGGATTTCTTATCCAAAAGGCTACATTCTCTAAGACTTGATAAGAAAGAATTGTTCTCCTGCTAGAAATGGTAAATGTTTATGAGTTGTCAAAGGAAAATTGAATGGACCAAAACCCATAATACAGAGGGAATGTATGTTCGTCATGCTTTTAATATGTATGACTTCAACTTACACAGAGAAAAAATGGGTATATTAACCATAAGTCTACATGTGTTGTATAACAGACTGTCCCTTTTATTTCTTATTGATGCTTATGGAAACCCAGATGAAATGGGTAGTAAGGTATCAGAAACTTGGAAGTGGATTTAAAAGATTAAAAAAAGAAAAAGCTGCTGTTGATTACTGGCTGACCTAGTTTATTTATATTGAAATCTCATAAATTCAACTGTATCTGGGAGCTTTTTAATGCAAGTGGGTAAAAAGATGGAAATATTAATTGTAAATTACTGACAGAGGCTAAACAGTGAATAGAGCTAGTAATTAGTAGACACTTTAAGCTTTTGCAGTTTGCATTTTTTTTTTTTTTTTGACATTTTGAAAGGACCATGATTTCCTCATTCCCTTTTGATTCAGGCCTGCAAAATGAATGAATTATAGATTTCTGCCCTTGGGCCTGATCATGAGACTTTGTTAGTATCTAACTGAACTTTGAGTGATTTTTTTTCCCTCAGTTCTGGGAAATCTACTGAACTGATGTGGAGAGCCCATTGGGCTGCTTTTTCCCTGGAATTTTGGTGTCACTGTGTCTGTGCTCTGATCAGGCAGAAGAGGTGACAAGTTCTCATGGTGTCTACTTCAGGGCAGGCCTGCAGGGTTTTCAGGACCAGAGAGCCCTGTGGATAGTCTTGTAATACAAACCCTTCCTTCTTGGAGAATACAGAAGTGGGAATAATGGGTGTTGCTTTCTTCTCCACATTTTAAGGAAATTTTTAGTAGAACCTACTGTGACTTAAAGGAAGAAGTTCTGTTTTATTTTTTCTTTATTTATGAGGTGTTATAACTTCCAGCTAAATTATTACTAGATATTAAAACATTAGTAGCCTATGTGTATATAAGAAGATGTTCTGCTTCAGTGTCATAATCCGTCTCTCTTCCCCTTGAATGAGATGATGAAGGATTTTTTTTCAGGCATTGTACATGCTTTGCAAACATGTACATTTGTGCATAATATGGGCAATTGATTCTCATTACATTGGTAAACTTTTGTGTTGTACACTGATACCAAATGAAAAATATTTCCTTGTGCTCACTTATTATTTACTCAATGTAAATGTGAATGGTTTCTTTTTCCTTTGTAGAGATAAAGATTACCATTTAAGGACCTACAAATCTGTTGTCATGGCCAACAAATTGATAGACTGGTTAATTGCACAGGTAAATACACAAGTTGCTGAGTTTCATTTACTACTGCTCTATACTTTGAGCATGTGACTTAGGTACTTTTAAAAAAATTAATGTATGCCTACTGATGAGGTACAGTGAAGTATCTTTTCCGTGATCATATCACTAATAGGAAGCAAAGTTAGAATTTGAACTTAGATATTCTGAATTCAGAATCCTTAAACTTAACTTTTATGTTGTCTTGTCTAAAAGTATGATGTTGTATCTTAAAAATATCAGCTGAGATCGATCAAAAAACACTAAGCATAATTTGAGCATCATCAAATTCTTGCTACAATTTTCTTGCATGTTTTTTTACTAGTTTGTTTTAAAGTATCTTTTTATTAGTCCTTGCAAATGATTCTAGTTTCCCTATGCCTTTTTCTCTATTAGATAACAATTGTGCTTTGGTAATGTGAGTTTTAATATGTCTGTGTATATTTTAAATAGCAAAGTACAGATTTTATTATTGTTATTGTTTCTCTGCTTCTCAAGAATTGGATGCTGACAGCTTGTGTTGAGAAAATGATTTGCTTCTAAGTGTAAAACAAATTAAAGCATCTAGCACATCATAAAAGATTCAAATATAATACTTATTTAGATATTTTCTCATACTAGGTCAGTTAATAAGTGAATGAAAATATTCCACTGATTAAAAAAAAGGCTAAAAGAACTGATACCCTTTTAACTGAAGTATTATCTAGGAGGGAAGATAGTGCTTATCCAAAATGTTGTTATTACACTTAGATATTCGAGTCAATTTTATGAGCAGATTTACTCTTGTTTTTAAAGAAATTCTCTGTCTTTGTTACAAGTAGATGATAATATTTGGTATTTCATCATAAAGTATTTATTTTTGTTTCATTATTAATATTTAAACCCTATTCACTTCATCTCTGCACATGTAATTTGAGATTTTTATTGTTTAATATTATTTTTATTTTTATTTTATTTTTTTCTGTGCTGGGGATTGGACCCAGGGCTTTGTGCATGCAAAGCAAGCACTCTACCAGCTGACGTATATCCCCAGCTGTTTAATATTTTTTTAGACTCTTCAGGACTACTTATTTTTTTAATGACACCCAGACTTTTACATTTAAATGTTAATATTTTAGATGAGACTGAACGATTACTTTCAGATAAAACCCTAATTTCTGTATCCAGTGGTTTTGCCTCTTATAACACTATGATCATCGCACATCACTGGAATCAATTCTTTATTCAGTATATAGAGTTAGAATTTTACATTAATTTTGCTACTATAAAATTCACGTGAACGCATAGAATATGTTGCTTAAATGAGAAAATTGAAGGAAATTCATTTGAAGCAAAAACTGGTACTGATTAAATATTTAAAGTTCTAACTTAGGAAGTCATCTATCAACTTTTTTTTTTTCTCTTTTACTTTCCAGTGTTATGCATTAGAATAATACAGTAAGTTACTTGAAAACTGGACCAAGACAAACTTACATTTTTCCTTAAGTTTTTCATAGTGGTCTGTTTTGACAATGCCTGTAGTAGTGTATATTAGAAATTGTAGAAATTGCACTGTACTTGGCTCTTAAGAAAACCTGTTCATTGATGCATGCTCTGCTAATAACTAGTGCAAATTTGAGCAAGTCATTCCAGCTCTCTGGATTATAGTTTTTATAACTGATTACTACATACTGGGATAGCTGTACCTGGCATCTTTGAACTATCATTAAGCTTTATGATTCTGATATTGTAAATCTTATCCAAATTCAAGGATAAGACATACTTAACTCACTGATTAACTTCCAACTAGAATATTATGGGCTATCTTGGAAGATAAATGCACACTAATGAAATGAAAAGAGAACAAGTTAACTTTTAAAACTTATATGAAGAAGAGATTTTAATAAAATAAAGGTCTCTTTCTACCAAGATTCTCAAATGGTAAGACTTCATTTCCAGTATTGGCCAGTATTGACTGGATTGATTTGGACAGCTCTGCAGAACAGAATGAAGAGCTGATTTCAATAAGGTTGTAAATGTGTTGTTTGGAATGTAGTCTAGATCTTGTAGTTTTCTTCAATATCCTGGATGATATCATTTTGGATGACTGACTATTGTTTTTGTCTAATACTCTTCTTGCTTGCTGCTGTGTTGCTTCTAGTATAATAGTATATAATAAAGCATCTTATTCCATGAAGTCAACACCTTACTGGACAAAGGCATTGGTGTACTTATAATACATTATTTCATTTGGTGCAAGTTGTGTTGTCTGTATGCATCACTCCTATTTTATGATTAAATAATGCCTTGTTTCATCAAACTCAGGCAGATTTTGTTGTACCTTTCTTTAATGCTCATACATCTATGTGACACCAGTAGGATTTTTAAAAGGCATAGGGAAGCCAAAACATTTCAGATCATATTTTTTACACTGTTCCATATAATATTTGTCTGGCCTGTGTAACATTTGAATAATTTATCAAATAAAACAATCAAATGTCAGTGAGTATTAAACAAGCTCTTACTGTAAACTTAACATTTAAACAAGTGCTTTCATGATTAAAATACAATAAACCAACAAAACTGGAAGCAGGCATGGTTTCTGCCTTAAGCGCTGTTGGAAACTGGGCTGATTATTCCAGCATTGTCTCCCCTGGGAAGCCTTTCTGGGTTCTCTGACATGGGCTCAGGGGTTTCTTCTGTATCTTTGTTCCCTGGGTATATCTGCCTGATGAGGAATATTAATTATAATTGAATAAGAGTCCTTACTATGTGCCACATTCTAAGTGACCAAATTCTTCAGTAGATTCAAATGACTAGAAGGCAAGGAAATTTTTTATGTTTGAATATTTTAACATTTGATCTCTAGCACTTGGCATAATATGCAGAAAAAAATCTTTTGAATTGAATGCATTATAATTATCAAGGAGCTAGATTTTTAAAGGAGGTCTGATGCATAGTCCGAAATTACAGATTCAAAAAATGCTTTGGGAGGTAACAGGGTTGCAGTTGTCACAGCATGAGGTGAAACTTACCCTGGGTTCTTCACACAAGATGGGTAGAATTTAAATGAATGGAGGGTAAAGGAAAGGGCATTGCAAGCATGAACAATTACCTGAGTGAACACAAGGAGGAAAATGACAGAGAATTCAGGCCACACAGGGAGGCTGAGCTGACTAGCGTGAGAGCTGTGGGTATTAAACTTTGTAATGTGAATCTGGAGAGGGACAGTAAAACTAGGATATGGAAGGTCTTGAAAGCATAATAAAATTTTTGATATAAATGTAAAATTTTGGAACATGAAATTCCTGTGTATAAAAGTTGAGTTCTATAATAGCATATGTTAATATCCAGAAAAAAGTTGATACTTTGTACAAGGAAAAATCAAATGTCAGATTAGTGTGTTGACAATAGAAATTAAAGAGAATCGATAAAGAAGAGAAAATGGATTGGTCCAGGATCTAAGTTCTAAAGAATAGGCTAGGGAAAAAAAAATAAGACAATATGTGAGAAAAAGTTTCTTAAACTGTAAAACATATAAATATAAGGTTATATATCTACAAAGATATGTGTTCATAGAGGTAGACGGATGTTTATCAGTAGAATCATGTTTTCCAAATCAAAACCATATTAAGACATTGTTTAGGCTGTTTTGTTGGGTTTAGTTGCTTGATGTGATTATTTCTTTTGGCTAGATAGTGAAAAGAAAAGCTTGCATTTGCTGGCTTGACCAAACACTTTGAGGTCTTACAAGTCACCAGAGATTAATAGGCTGTGTTAAGAGTGCCTCCAAAGTAAGTGCATTTGGTAGAATGCTGGGAGCCATTAGCCAAGTAGGTATGACAATTTCCTTGCCAGCGTACCCCATGTTGCAGTGACATTGAATGTGGGTGACCTTGCTCAAGGACCAGGGCGGATTAGGGTGTTCCTGTCGGGTTTAGGGCGTTCCAGGTTTAAGATTATTCCTGCTGGGAATAGGGCGCATCCTGCTGCCTGAGTTCCCCTTGAGTTCTCAGGGGATTCAGACAGTATATTTTGGAGATAGAAGCCCAGTGGATTTGAATTTGGGAGAGAACGTGGATTTCCCCAGAACGTGATTGTAGACGGCTGGTGTGAGTTCGGGAATAAAGAGTTGCTGTTTGAATCTACAAGCTGTGTGGTGGCTCGTGATTGTGTGCCCAGCCAGACTGCGGCATTTGTGCCCAGCCAGACTGCGGCATTCTGAGTTCCCCTTGGTAGAAGAGAAGAGTGATTGGCCAAGATCATGCAAAATGGTTTTTACTTACCTATATTTAGAGTGTCATCATTTTATAGGCTATTTTCCTGTTCCTTAACCATGATACAGTATCTAAGAAATAACAGGGATTATGTGTAGAGGCAACAAATATTATATACTTATATATTTCCATATTTAATAAAAATTTTACCCGGCAAATGTTAAATATTTTTATTTATTGTCAAAGGAAACTGTTTTTGTATTAAATGAGTGTTGGATACATTCTGTCTTATGAAATAATGGATGTATATAATAACTGTTGAATGCATTCTGTCTTAGGAAACAATGCATGCAGCAATATATGAATGACTTTACCTGAATATAGTGCTAAGGGTGTGAAGTGTGATAAGATACAGGACAGCCTGTGTTGATTCTGACTTACACAGTACTTTTTGGTTAACAGGGGGATTGCCGTACCAGAGAAGAGGCAATGATATTTGGCATTGGACTCTGTGACAATGGATTTATGCACCATGGTAGGGATTTTTGTCTTGGAAGCTTACAGATGTATTTCATTGTTTTGGTTCTTCTTAGGACATTGGGAGTATCTCAGTACTCTAGTGATGTCCACAGGAACCAGCAAGGCTGTGTGGGTGTTGCCCTGGGTCCATGCTGAGTCACCACATCTGCAATCCATTTCATTGCTGGTGCCATTCCTGTGTCAAATTGCTGTTATCTACCAGTTGCCATGACTTTTATTTTTCTAGACAATGCTAATTCCAGAAGAGCAATGGCTTGAGCTAGAAGTTTTGGTTTGCTCATGTACCTCTTTGAATTGGTTTCAGATTAGACTCATATTTTTAAAAATTATACTGGAAAGTAGACTAATTAAATGACATATGGCTGAATATTTATTGTTATTTTGGGGGGGTATTTTCAAAATCACTTTAGGGAATTAAATTATAGATCTCTGGGGAAAATGTTTCTTTTTGGCCATTAATGATTGATTTTTTTCTTGTTTGATAACTTGATGATTTGCTGAAAGTCATCAAACAAGAGTTTTTAAATAAAGTTAATGGATTTATGAAAACAAAATTGGATTTTTCCTCTCTATTCACACTAGGTTCTAGAATCTGTGGACTCGAAACATTTTTCTTTCAATTATTAATGTATTGTGCTTCTAACTATGTTTCATAGCACTTGTATTTATTTGCCAGTTATTTACAGAAGGTTGTTACACCTTTATGAAGGAAATATAGCCAAAGTCCTAGCAGTTCTGAGAGCATCCTTGGTTATCACATGTTAGTTGGGGATGTCTGTCTCTTCTCTGTGTAGACAGATCACTGTGTGGGTTGTTCAAGAGAAACACTAGTCCCTGAAGAACAAACCATTTAATGGAAGAAATTATAACATTTTAGGGAATTAAACTAGAATATCAGGTTGAAAATGCTCAAAGTTTTGATTCATTCTTCATTTTAACATAAAGCATCAGGAAGCAGTAAATTCATCTAAACATTTATTGTAAAATATTGTATTACAACAGAGTAGCCATAACTGACAAGGGAAACAAGTTTGCCTCGTGCCTGGCTATATTGATGCTTTCCCCTGTTCCTTTTGATGGGTTATTTGGTGAATGAAAACAGCTATAGCAGAAGCCTCATGTGAGCTTTGCGACTCTGCTTAGCTCATTTAGGCAAGATTTAATCTAAAATATGTTATCATTTCTGTTGTTCACCCTGGCTTGTGTTGCTTTTATGTCATGGTTGATACATTGCCAGTGAGTCTTTCATTCAAAGATCAATACAGTCTCCCTATCTAGTCAACTCTTTAAAAATGATAAAATGAAATAGCGGTCTTTTTGGATTGCTTACCAAGTTGCCAAGTTATTTATGTAGATCGCCTCCTTTTAGTTTAATACAACATGGTGAAGATTTTATTACCCTCATTTTGCAGACTGAGAAAACTGAAATGTGGAATGTTTAAGTAATTTTCTCATTGTCACACCCAGAATCAGTTCCAGACCTGGACTGATCCATCACAAAACATAATTCTTTCTACTGTGCCCTGAGACCACTGTCTTCCCTTTAGCTCCTAGTTCTATGAATCAACTTGGCCCAGGAAGTACACTTCAAGGTACAAAGGATAAATGAGTGAGAAATACAGAAGATTTCTCATGTAAAGCATTTTGACAGATGTCAGGATCTCATTCTGTACAAATTCTTTAGTATTTAGACTTTGTTTAAACAAGGCTGACAAAACATAAACCTTATGTCATCAGTCCATGGCTTTGGGGGAAAACGTTAATGGTCAGATAGAAGGGAGAAAACTGACCTTGGCAGAAATGAGATTATTGGAGAACATTGCAATTTTGGGGTTGTACTGGGGATTGAACTCAGGGGACTCAACCACTGAACGACATCTGTAAGGTCTTTACATAGCATCTGGATGGCTATTTTAAATGACAGCCACCATTTTAAGAGAAATTTCACTTTCCCGCCCAAGGGCATTTCTGAGAAAGGCTCACCACTCCCTGATACCAACCTCACCCTTAATGGCTACATTGGGACTAGGCAGGTCCCTGAGCCTGCCCCATAAAAGTCCTGAACCCCAAGCCTGTTTTGCTTCTCTCCACCTATGGATAGATGTGCCTTTATTTGTCAGCTCTGACAAATAAACAATCTGTTGTATCTCTGCCTACTCTCCATCTTTTATTTCTCGCTCATCTGTCTCCTAGTTCCTGGCTTTCCTTTCACATCCCCAGCCCTATTTTGTATTTTATTTAAAGACAGTGTCTCATTGAGTTGCTTAGAGCCTCACTTTTGCTGAGGATGGCCATCCTCCTGTCTCAGCCTCCTGAGCTGTGTGCTCCACCACACCTGGCTGAATATTGCTTTTAAACAGAAAAGAACTATGTGGAAACAAAGATCACATTTCACCCAGAAAGCATGTTTATGCTTGAAGTCTTAGAAGAAAAGTGACACATGGGACTTGCTCACATATGCAAGGCAACCCTTCACCTATTTGAATTTTCCATAATTGTGCAAGATATTAAAAACATACATAAAATGTTTACTATGAGTTGAGAACACCACAGGTTTCTAAGTTTGCATTGCATTGCATGTTAGGATTTATTAAAATCTTTTACTTAAGTTTGGATTTTAATCTGATCAATGAAGACTTGGTTAAGTAGAAAAGAAGCTAACATTGGAAAAATAATTATTTTAAAAATCCATAATCCTTTAGGTAACAGCAATTTAGAGGAAACATTGATTTGAAATTATGTAAAGAAATAGAAAAAAAATCTGAGGGATATTTGTGTCATTTGTCCTAGAAATATAAAGTTGAGATTGTGGGCAGATATTTTATTTACCTAATGTCTACAGGTGTGGAAAATTTGACTTTTTAATTAATTGAAACAATTTAAATCTTTCTGTTTGTGTAGTCCTGGAAAAAAGTGAATTCAAAGATGAGCCCCTACTTTTCCGTTTTTTTGCGGATGAGGAAATGGAAGGATCAAATATGAAACATCGACTTATGAAACATGATTTAAAAGTTGTGGAAAATGTTATAGCCAAGTCACTCTTGGTAAGTTAGTTAATATGTTAAGCCTTCTTGATTAGACAGTAGCAGAAGACTGCATAAACATTTTGGTGGTGATGCATATGCCTTTATTCTGTTTTAATTTTAATTTTTCATCAATAATGTTATTATTTTGCATTTCAGATTAAATCTAATGATGGCAGTTATGGCTTTGGGCTAGAAGACAGAAATAAAGTTCCAATAATAAAATTGGTAGAAAAGGGGTCTAATGCTGAGGTAATGTATATTAGCATTTTTATTTAAAATTGTTGTCATGATAGACAAACATAAAAGTTTCAAACAAATTGAAATCAACCTTATAAGTATCCTTAGCAAAGACAAATGTCTTTGCATGGTCTTATTTTCAGGTTCTACCAAATACCCTTGAGATTAGTGGCTGCTGAACTCCTACCTATGTATTCAGAGATATTGGGGACAGGGAGGTGGTGGTATTCCTCTGAACTTCTTGACTTCTTGGGAGGCCAAACACCTTGGCTCCTCTTATGTCCCTGGGCCTCTCTAATCACAAATTCCAACTGGACACTTATGGAGACAGCATAGTGCCTGTACCATTTATGTGTGCCTGTTCTCTTCAATCAAGGGCTGTATCTTCTATTTACCTACCCCCTTTATCTTTTCTATGAATATATCTTTCATCATTCAAAGTACATGCTTTGATTTATTTTCTCATTGAATTAATGCTGATTGACAGTCTCTCATTTCACCAGGGTTTTAAACAGAGGAATCCCTAATAATTCATGTCTTCATTCAGGAATATTTATTTAATAGCTGTTATATGCTTGATAGTGTTCTCAACTGTGAGAATACAGCAATGAATGAAACAGACAGAATACTCAGATCTCAATAAAGAATGTGAGAATTAATGAAATAAAACTTTTAACTTTGAATGTATTTAAAATAGATGGTAACTTGTCCGCCATCCCTCCTAGCTGTTAATGTTCAAGGTCTGTGCTTTTACCAAAACACAAATTCATGCAAGATAAAGCTTTAGGTACAGCACATTAATGTCAAACAAAGTAACTCTGGTCAACTTATATGTCATTGATGGACCTGGCCAACAAATGCACGCAAGGAGATGTTTTCCCAGGCATTTTCAACAGATGCTTTGGACAGCCCAGCTTCATCTGCTGTGACACAAATGAATGCCCTCTCCCAGTGATACTGCTGGTTATCTGCTCCCTCACATGTAGAAGTACAACATTAGAGAAGCACTCTGAGGCAAGCATATAAAGCAGGGTTTATTTAGAAAGGAGTAATGTAGACTTCTCCCAGGAGGGAGAAGCGGGCCATAGCTGGTATCCTAGTATCCCAGGAAGTGAGGGGTTTTGCCTTTTTTTTTTTTTTTAATATGTCCTAGGCTTCCTTTGTTACCCTGCTCCCTTCCCCCCTTATCTCTGTCCTCCCTGCTAAGACTAGGTGCAGGAAATGCTGGGTGGGATGGCCAAAAGGTGGGAAACAGGTGGGCTGGAGGGGCCTGGGAAGAGTGATCCAGGCAGGAAGGGGGCCCAGGGTGAGTTAATTAGCAACTTTTACAACTCCCCATAGGGAAGGACAATTCCTGGGACTGGTTACCTTAGCAACAGGTTGGAGCAGGGGCAGGTTCTTGATAAGGGTGGAGGAGGGGCTCTGAACGAATTAACATTTCAATTCCTCCATTCTCTGGATCTGACCCTTGCCAATCTGCCTGGTCTAATTCTGGCTTCTGCAAATAGGCTGCCAAAAGCAGCAGGGAGTTTATGGGTAGTAGGTTGGATAAGAAAAGCTTCTGGTTGGCTTGGAGGGGTGTTGTCTTCCTTGTCCCCTCTCAGAATCTTGCACTGTTGACACCTCTGTGATTACTGGAGCTCTCTTGCCCACTCCTCTGCTCTGCTGGAGACTCTGATGCTAATGAAACTGGTCTTGAAAATCAGTATCTGGTCCTATTCAGTTTTCTTTAAAGGACAGAATGGAGAGACAGTCCAGAGTCCACAGAGGAGGGAGTCCAGAGCTGGTGCCTGAGGGAGTGAGGCTGTCTTGACCCTTTGATAGAATCTAGATAGTTCCTTTCTTCTCAAGTTCCCTCCTCCTCCCATTTTTCCTATAGGACCAAAAGCCCTGAGAGAAGCTGCCCATGGGGTACATCTCCCTATTTTCCATAGCTGCCCTGAAAAGCAGGAAGGGAGGGAGGGGTGGATACTCAGGTCCTTTTGCCAGGGTCTCAGTAATGTCAGTAATGCCCATTGAGTGTCATTGATATGTCGGTAGATATACACACACAGCAAGGATTGAAACTCTCTTAGTATAAAAAAAAAAAAATTAACTTGGGGTTTGAATATAGTTTTAAAGGGTGAAATTTTAAAAGGACTTCTTTATACAATAGAAAAAGGGAGTAAGAGGAGTACAATGTCAATTCAAGGAGGAATGGATGAGAATTTCACTGAAGCTTTATAATCAAATTCAAAACTAGGCCCTCAAAAATGATAACTGTGTTATTTTATCCATTCTGTGAATTTGCAAAAAACATTACAGATGTGTTTAAAATGCCAAAGTGTGTAAGGTCTGAATTTTTCAGATTCTAGTTCTGTGAAAACAGATTTCTTATTAAGTCACTGTTTGAATTATAATTTTTTTTTGTGTGTGTGTGTGATTTCTCTTTTAGATGGCTGGCATGGAAGTTGGGAAAAAGATTTTTGCTATTAATGGTGACCTGGTTTTTATGAGACCTTTCAATGAAGTGGATTGCTTCTTGAAATCATGCTTAAACAGCAGAAAGCCTCTAAGAGTTCTTGTGAGCACAAAGCCAAGGGAGTAAGTTGTATGATTTTTGTGGGATTAAATGAATTATACATAGATGAGTGAAATAGGAAGTTAACTAAGTAAATTTTTAGAATTAAGCATCTCATATTTTAGAACATAACCAGCATCCTAAATATTAGTCTGTAGGCCATGGACACCTACATTGCTTATAGTGGATGTGGCTCAGTGGTCCAGTGCCCCAGAGTTCAGTCCCCAGGAACAAAAAAAAAAAGAGAGAGAGAGAGAGAGAAAGTGAGAAAATTATGAATGAGAATTAAGAACTGCATGTGAAATTGTTGCTGAAAGCTGGAGTTGCAGGATCCAGGAGGGGTCCTGTTGTTTTCTGGGTCCTGGCCCACCTTAGAGGGCAAGAGCCAAAATGTTGGCTTCTTTTTACTTCCTTGACTTTTGTTTTCCAAATTTTGGGTTTTAAACACTCAGCAAGTCAGTTTCACCAGTCTTAAAGAGGGAGTAATAGATTATAACTTCAATATCTATAATTTTACAGTTATTCCTTTCTTTTAATTGGGGTCAGTATTAGTACTGGAAGTCAGCATTATATGCTATTTATCCTGTAGGTAAAGACTTATTATCACAAATTAACCCAGGTTGTTGTTTTTTTAGAAGCAGTACCTGTGCGAAACAGTAATAGGCATCAGTTACAAAGTTTACAAGGAAAATACAAAATGAAATTAGTAGAGCAAAAACATATTCAGTTTGTGTAATAGCTATGAAGCAAGAAAAATGACTTTCATAATCTTGAACTTTTACTTATACATTATATCCCCTGTCTGAGATCAGTCATCTTTACAACAGAAATCAATCTTTTGAAAACAGTTTTAAATGAGCTGAAGTCTAGCTTATTTTCGAGCATTCTAACATGGAGGCAGAGCCTTATCTCTCTTTACAAATAGCACAATACAACATTATATCAGAAACATGAATCAAAGAAAGGCTAAGAGAGCTTTCAGCTTCTTTTTGTGGAAAAAAATGGCAGAATACTTCCATGTTTTACAATGTCACCTTTAAACAGATCAGGCTGTCTTTCTTATTTTCCAAAAATGCATTTAAATATTAATTTTATTGTGACGAGTAAGACAAAATTGTATATGTAACTTATTAACAACAGGTTACTTTATCCAGCTATAAAACGTTCAATGACATGAATAAATACCAACCAATTTTTTTTTTTTTTTAATATAAATTTGGCACTTTTGCTGCACATAATTTTAGTTTGGAGAACACCAATTTGGCAAAGTGCTTTCCTAAGCTTTACATTTAAGTAACTTTAACTGACTTCAACTTTTAAAGTACAATTTATAATCCAGAGTGCATCTTCTAAATATAGAATCATGTAGTTGGCAAATAGTGAATTTGAGTTCTTCTATTTGTATCCCTTTAATTTCTTTCATCTGTCTGATTGCTCTGGCAATCTGTTTTGAATAGAAGTGGTAAAAGAGGGTATCCCTGTCTTGTCCCAGTTTTTAGGGGGAATGCTTTCAGTTTTTCTCCGTTTAGAATGATGTTGGCCTTGGGCTTAGCATAGAGAGCTTTTAGAATATTGAGGTGTATTCCTGTTATCCCTAGTTTTTCTAGTGTTTTGAACATGAAGAGGTGCTGTATTTTGTCAAATGCTTTTTTTCTGCATCTTTTGAGATGATCCTATGATTCTTGTATTTAAGTCTATTGATGTGATGAATAACATTTATTGATTTCCGTATGTTGAACCAACCTTGCATTCCCAGGATGTACCCCAGTTGATCGTGGCACACTATCTTTTTAATATGTTTTTGTATTCAATTTGCCAGAATTTTATTGAGAGTTTTTTTGTGTCTCTGTTCATCAGGGATATTGGTCTGAAGTTTTCTTTCCTTGATGTATCTTTATCTGGTTTTGGTATCAGGGTGATATTAGCCTCATAGAATGAGTTTGGAAGGGTTCCTTCCTTTTCTATTTTATGGAATAATTTGAGGAGTGTTGGTATGGTAACAGTAATTACAGGTCTGCATAGGTTAACAAAAAATCAAAGGAGACCCCTAAATCTCTTATACATTCAGGAAACTGTTAATGATCAGAAATAGACTTAGTCAAAACACAAGACAGGTCTTCAAATGACAGTGTGGCCCTTCTATGTCAGATACAATGTATAAAAAGAGAAGAGCACTTATTGGTTATCTTACCAGTAAACTTATATAAGTTTTTATATAATACTTAGACAAGGCTGAGACATATATTAGGGTGTTACTATATTGTCATAACCCAAGTAACCGTTGTTTGTTTAACCAGTTTCAAAGTAATCAGTTATGACTTTCAAATAGGTACAAACCCCAATTTCTTTAAGACTTAGTTTCCCCAAGTAAGAAAACCCAACAAGTACAAGAAAATTATCTTGATAGATAAGAGCAGATCAGTGTTTTAGACTTTGCCTCATATCAGAACATTAACTTCAACTGAGCTAATTATACCCAGTTTAATCACAAACACAAACTTTTTGAGATTTACCTTCCATAGATTTTTTGCAACTTCCTTAGACATTCACAACTTTGCATCCTTAGTTTTGCCCTCTTTTATCTTTGACTTTAGCCCAAGAATATTACTTTACCAGAAAAAAATACTTTATCATCCATAAGCATTTCTTTTACCTTCTAATTTTCTGTACTAAAATATATTTCCATACCTATAACTTCTATTTTTGGATCTTTCTCTTAAATTCATATTCTGAAATAGTCCTTGTGAATTTTATCTGTGCATTTACTTTATACAACAGATTTCATCTTAGGAGAGGGTTGGAAAATCTAGCATATACAAAATTGCGCCTTAATCTTTTTTCTGTCAGGTTATATTCAAGGGGTTGGAAGACATGATATTTTTGAGGCTGTTCCAGTAATCAGTATCACAATGCCATCAGCTTTAAGTGAGTTCCCCACTGAGAGTTGTGTTGGGAGGCTTTTTGGGGGGCCTTTTCCTTATACTAGGTATTGATGAGCAATGGGGCAGATCCTTTCCATTTTTTCTTTAGGCTTCCTTGAAGATCCCTTTGCAGAGGCTGCCTAAAAACACAGGTTGGCCTTAGTTTCTGTCTTTTTCTTTTCTGGGTGCAGTTATTTATTTTGCCAGTCTCCCAAGGCATTGAATCATTTTGTCCCAGTGATGGATATCCCCTGGCCAAATGGGGCATCCTGTCAGATCCTAAAGGGGAAGCTGTTCCTGTCTCCAGGTCATATACTATTAGTGCTGAAACCACATCATTTATGGCCATCAGCTTCCACTCAACAGAGGCCGAAGGGGCTGGGAGGCAGGGCAGAGGCCAGGTTCTCTGTGGCCATTTTTTCTATAGCCCAGGCAGCTTTCCTCCCATTTTAGGGCTGGTGAGCTGCTTGCTCTCCTTGTGACCCAGAGGCAATGCATTTTGGCACCTTGAATGAGTTCCTGACTGTTCAGACCCCTTATCATGGAACTGCATAAATGCCTGTGCGTACAGAATCTCTTTCATAGACTTCACCCCTGATAGACTAACATTAACTTCAGAATTGTATAATAATCCAGAAAAACCATATAAAGGTCAGACTGTGTTACAGTAAACCCTCTTTCTCGTAGTCAGGCTTATCCTTATAGGTGGCCTATGCAGCCATGATCTCTGTGTTCTAGAGACTCCACTAAGATCAATGCAGTGTACCCCATGTCTTAGAGGGCCAGTAACAGACAAAACAAACAAAACCTCAAAAACAGATAGATAAGAGAGGATCCCAAAATCAGGGCTGACAGTCAGGAAGGAACCTTTAAAACACAGACCTGCATGTACAAATTTCTTCCACTTAACTTTACCTTTGACCAACCAACTTCAATTGCAAAATTGTACAGTAATCCAGAAAGCTATTCAAAAGCCAGATCGTTACAATAAAACATTATCTCAGACAAGCTTTAACTTAATTTATCTTTGACAGACCAGCTCCAATTGCAAGATCATACCAAAAAAAAAAACAAAAACAAAAAAAACAGAGAGAGACAATAGAGAGGAGCCCCAAAACCAAGTCCGACAAATAGGAACCTTTAAATTGGCCAGCCAATCTTTTCCAAGAGACTACCTGTATGATCAGTGCAGTATTGGCCATGTCTTAAAAGGGACGGTAACTGATAGAAACAAAACAGAAACACAGACAGACAACCAGAGGGCATTCCCGAACCATGGCTGATCAGACGGGATCCTTTAAAACAGACCAGACAGGAAAATCCTTCAAGTTCCCAACTCCCGCTCTGACTTTTATACCAGTGGTACTACAGATGTCCCCATGAAGAGGGACAAGATGGTTTCACAAAGGGAAACCAACTATGTAGAACCAAGGGTTTCGGTGCGGGTAAAGGGGATGGAACTTACTGAACAGTCAAGGTATGACACCTTTACTGCATCCTTTTTTCTCAAATAGACCAACATGGAGCAATCCATATAGTTGAGGGAAGGAAGGCAGGGGTTCCCTGAAGCAAAAAGTGCTTCAGCAGCTGCTGGGGACAGTCCCTCAGTCCCTTCTTTTACTCACTAGAATACCTCTTTTGGTTCGACCGGAGGTACACCCACTTACCTGTCTCCTAACTTTATAGCAGTCAGCTCTCAGGAAAAGTTTGCCTTACACCCTCAGCATGGAAGTGGGGTTCCTTGGAGAGCCAGGCCTGCCCAAGAAAGCTGGGGTGGGGGCTGCTCTTGGGTCCCACCTGGGGTGCCAATTTGTTGCTGAAAGCTCAGTCCTTGTGAGGCCACCAATCCAATAATGAGGACGTGGTTTATTGGAAATCGAGGGGAAAAAGAAGTTTATTTATTGCTTTGCCAGCAAAGGAGAAACACAGGGGACGACTCTTGTTCCAGAGGCTGTGATTCTGCCCATCAGCAGGAACAGGGGGCCTTTAAAGAGGTGACTCAAAGGCTACATTCCATGTGTTCTCTGTTGGAGTTTTAATTCACATGTTAATTTGGGAGATAGTCATTTCTGAGATCTTCTGGTACCATCCCCAAAGTCTGG